ATCTGTACTTTGAGTATTTCACACAGAACACTAAATAAGAAATAAAGCATTTAATTTTGAGCCACCACTTATTAATTAATTAATTGGATGATGATTTACTTCATTAACAGATTAACTGTTTTGCCTCAAAAGGGAAAAAATCCTATTACCATTCCGCAGAGCCCAAAGCAACATATTACAATGCCTTGCTTTCTGTGATGTCTGTCTGAAATCCAAAGATATTCATTCTTAAACCATTTTATATGACAAAGAAAGGATCTGGTTCATAATTATATAAATATATTGATAGAAAACTAAGAAAAGCAGCACATCCTCACACTGGAGAAACTGAGAGGAGAAACCTTTTGGTATTCTGACTTGAAATATACTGCAGTCTAACCTAATTCTGTTGTTCATTCAGATCTTCAAGTCGAACCCTCGCTATATCCTTTTTATCCACCTGGTGTTCAACGACATGATCCAGCTGACAACCAGCATTTCCCTCTTCATCTTTGCCTACGCCTTCAACACCATCTTTGTCTCCCTCTGTTGTCTCCTCATTTTGCCAGCTATTCTTACTACACTAAACACCCCTCTGAACCTAGCTTTCATGGCCGCAGAGTGCTACATCGCAGTCTGCATTCCCCTCCGCTACAACAACATATGTACGGTCAAAAGAACATATATTGTAATTGGCATAATCTGGACAATGAGTTCACTTTCTGTCCTACCCGATGTCTTCATCCTTCTGGCCACTGAACCTCTGGAGTTCTTACATAGCAGAGTTTACTGTTCCAGAGATTCAGTGTTTAGGAATACCTACACTGTGAAGAAAAGGGATGTATCCCACATATTGTTTCTGGTTGTGGTTTGGCTCACTCTGTTTTACAGTTACTTGAGAATTTTGTTTGCAGCCAAAGCTGCTAATGCAGATGCTAAAAAGGCCAGAAACACTATCCTCCTTCATGGCTTTCAGGTGCTGCTGTGTATGACGTCTTATGTGCGACCTATGTTATCTCAAGTGCTGACATACTTGTTCCCAGCAGGTGTGAGATCTATATACTTTGTTATGTTCATTATAAACCAAATCCTCCCTCGCTTTATTAGTCCCATTGTCTATGGGTTACGAGACAAGACTTTCAGGAAGTACTTCAAAAGGTATCTGTGTACAGTAACCAGACATCCAAAGACAGCACCAACATAAAATAATATTTCTAGAACCTTGTGATGTTGGTAAATGAAAGTCAGACTTTTGTTGTACCAAAATTTAAAAATGTATGAAACAGATAAAATGACCAAAACTTATTAAAGTAATTAAGCAATGATAAGGCTGGGCTCAGAATAGTACATGTAAGATTATTGTGTATATTAATGTAGTAATCAGTTCTGCAGTATAATACATGATTTGACAACAATTAACTTGACTTTTGAATTTGTTTGCCCAGGGGGAGCCATTCAAGTGCTGTCATTGCACATTTTCACTGAACTTTTTCATGTCAATGAGACTTTTTTCTGGCTTTTAATGCCGTTACTTGACAGAAACAGCCACTGAGAGACAGGGAAGAGGGCAGAGAGAGAGAGAGAGGGGACGACTTGCAGCAAAGCACTGCAGGCTGGAACCGAACCCGAGCCATGGTTGAAAGCACTCACCCCTAGTACAGCACCAGATGAGCTACCAGGTCACCCCCTCATATCAAGTGAGACTTGTCAACTGATGTTTATTCAATTGACAGTTCAATTATTTTGAGATTTTACTAATTACTTACAACTGACACTTCAACTGCATGCTTGGCCAAGTGCACCACTCTCTGAAGGGTTTTACAGTCCTGAGCAGAGCAGGTCACGCTCCGAACCGCCACTCTATCTTCATACCTCTGCTTAGCATCTTTGACCACACGTCTCATCTGGTAGGACGCTGCCTTGAATGAATCGCTCTTGGTGTGGCCCCAGACTGACTGATTTGCCTTAGGAGACCCTACCAGGATCACACAAGTTTATTCAATATACTCCAATATCAATTAATGTGACAGATGACCATATTATTAGAATAGTTTTCAGTGTTGCCATTGGTCACTACAGGAACACTTGACATGCAGACAAAGACAAACTGTCACTGAGACAAAGGTGAAACTAATCAGGGCGGGGCAGGAGAGGAGTGATGACTATTACAAAAAAAAAAGGAAAAAACTAAACTAAAACCCA